ATTGTACAGCATTAATTCAAAGCACGAAAGAAGAAATATTTATAACTTTACTACTATATAGTATTAATATAAATACTAATTATATACAATCATTGGAAATATTAATTAAAACATATAAAATTTATGTACTTGAAATGAAAGATGTGTCCCACGTTATAAAAACTATACATTTAAACGCTCCATTTCATGATTGATCAGTTTTCAAACAATTTGCCTATCTTTTTAACGAAAATTTAACATTCATTATAAAGATGAATATTTATTTTGTCGCGCTAGGTACGTTTGTACACTTTCGAACTAATATTTAAAACGTCTCACTTTTGAATAAAACACTACACTATTTATGAATTTTGCCTCTGTCTACCAAACATTGTTTGATGTACGCAACTTTCTGTTCCAACAAGATAACGTATCGAACAATCGCACGTGGATTTTGATAAAACTTACACATTTCAAAATAAAAATATTACATAGAACTTTTTATCGGTCATTATCTATGTAGGACGGGTGAAGATAATTCTCAGTTGTTTTTTTTTATATTGAAAATTGGTCAGATGAGAAAGATTTTTTAAGCACTGTGATTTCGGTAAGCAATTTAATTACAAAATTAAACTTCTGAATGAATTTTGAGAGGAAGAATATTATCTTTAAGCCTCCGACTGTTAATAAAATACACGCAAAAATCGATAATTAGACCCCTAAGTGACGCTATACTTTTAATTAACCGATTTTCAACAATTATAAAAACGAGCTGCAAAAGGCTCGAACAATCGTATCTCCTCTTCCCAAATTGTCCACTTTTGTGGACAATCTGAGCGTCAATTGGGGAGACATTACTGTGGTCTTTCCGAAAGACATATTTTACAGGAATATCAAAGTCGACGTGAGCTCGCGACAAAAGTCTTTCGTGAAACGAAAAAGTTACTATCTCCGAACGTGACGACTATTAATTTACATTCATAGATTGGTTGCTACCAAGCAAAAGTCAATTTATGTTATCTGTTTAGATCGGGAACGTTTCGAACGTTGGGCTTCAGATGAAAACGATCAGTTATATATTCGACGCTTCAAAGTATATATATATACAGGGTGTCCCAAAATTATTGTATTTCCGGGAACTGAGCAACTTTTTTCTCAGCGAAAATGCGATCCGCGGCTTCGTTTACGAGTTATTAACGAAAAACAGTGACCAATGAGGGGCGAGATCGGCTGGCGCGTGGCGCGCGAGTCAATGAACGGAACCGGGCTTCGCGCGCTCATTGGCTCGGCCGTCGCGCGCCGGCTAGCGCTCGCCTCTCATTGGTCAGCGCTTTTTCGTTAATATCTCGTAAACGACGCCTCGTAGAACATTTTTGTAAAGGAAAAAGTTGCTTCAAATGACCCGAGGAACCCCACAATTCCCGGAAATACCATAATTATGGGACACCCTGTACAACACTCCGCAACGTTCTCAATCCCGGGTATAAATTCACCTTTACTCGACATCAATCGCCGTGTTCTTCATAACGTATTCCCTAGTAAACTCCGTCACGATGTTCTTAACAGACACAACGGGCAATGGCGGCAGCGGACCAGGATGTCTCTTCCGGTGGCAGATGAGGCCGGGCTTCTGCGCGAACGCCTGTCCACAGACGTCGCAGATGTACGGCCTTTTGCCGGTGTGGATGAGAACGTGTTGCTCCATGGCGGTCTGCCTGGTGAAGGACCTGCCGCATATCGGACAAGGGAACGGTTTAAGCCCGGTGTGCACCCGCATGTGGCCCTCGATGGTGCGACCCCGAAGAATCTTCCCGCAGGTCGGGCACACCACCCTCTCCCTCTCCTTGTGCCAAAGCATGTGCTGGTCCAGGCTCTCCTGGGTGGACAGGCAGCGTTTGCACACGCCGCACTCGAACGGATGTTTATTATGGCTGTACCTCATGTGACGCCTGAGCGCCGGCACGCTTTTGTAAGAATGCCCGCACACGGAGCATATCACCGCTGGCGCGTCGCTGTGCATCTGATTCGTGTGCTGTTTCAGGTCGTTCTTCAGCTTGAACTTCTTCTGGCAGACGTCGCAAGTGTACGGATAGCTGGTCGTGTGCCTGCGGATGATGTGGTCCTTCAGGATCCACTTGTTCGTGCTCTTGAAGTCGCACATGTGGCACGGATAGACCAACGGCCCGTGTCGTTCGACCACGTGTAGCCGCAGGTCCTTCGCCTTTTGGAAGCCCTGGTCGCAGAACCGGCACTGGTTTACGTGCTCCTTTATGTGCAGTATCAGCGGCGTCTTCCGGTCGAAACGCTTGCCGCAATGGTCGCACTCCAGGGATCTGGGCCTCGTCCTCGATGTCCTCGGTGGGAACTTCCTCGGCCTGGCCGCGCCGTGATCCTTCGGCACGCGACAACAAGAACGAATTGCCCGGTCGGCCCGATTTCGAAGCGATTTGCTCGGCGTAGAAGCGTCCGTTAACGGAACCGTGCTCACAATTCTCACTTCGCCGAACTCCTCCGTGGTCGTCGCCGCGTCCTCCAGAGGGTTCACCGGCCGGAAACTAAAACAGATCGAATTCGGGCTGGTTAAGATGCGTACGTTCGGCTGGCAGAGTTCTAGATGAAGAGCTTATGGTTACTTACTTGGAACGTACTTTTAGCAGGGGGGCATTTCTCGAGCGCTTATAAATTCATTGGTATCGAGCAGTGAGATTATTAGTTAACGAGATTTCTAATCGGAGAAACAACACTTATGTGTGCGCGTGTCGCTGTGTGGCTACAGTACTCCCTTCCTGTATGTTTAGTATAACAAAACATCTTCCTCTTGCTCGTCACTTTACCCTTCCGTTGCCTTAGGCGAGACCGACGCAAGGATTGCTTACAATCTACGACCCTTGCGAGACGCTGGGAACGGTGATGCGATCGCGACGTTGACAAATTTCGGTATCAGGGAGGGAATACTGTTTGCAGTGAAAACAATTGTTGCCGAACGAAACTGTTATTGCATTCTTTCTCGATTGTACAGTCGTTCGATTACACAAATGAAATACTACGCGCATCTTGTATAATGCGATGCATTGTAATTATACATATTACGTTACGCTTATGTTCCTATAAGCGTGTGTATATGTATGTATATGTATAAATCGCTATAATGTAAACGGTTGTTTCACGCGTTGTAAAAGTTGCGTGTTTTTAATTTGCGTATTGATTTTATTTGAAACAATTCGTCGTACAATAGGAAGTAGATATTTGTAGAAAATATTTTAAATGTTCGAATGGAATTAGATACATCGGCCGAAGTCGGAAAGGATTTACAAGAATCCGTGTACACTCGCCGCGGAAAGTATGTTGACTGCTTTTCAATCGGTCCAAAATACTTGAATTTCTTTTAGATGACAGAGAGACTAATTTTCTAGGCAATGGCTCTGCTATCTTCTTCTATTTTGCTATTTCTTGGAATGGAAGTTAAAAAATAAGAGATTTTTTTATCGTTTTTCTTTGTCATTCCAAGAAATAGCAAAATAAAAAAAAGGGTAGTATAGTCATTGTCTAGAAAATTAGTCCCTCTGTGCTTCTGAAAAAAATTCAGGTTATTTGGACCAATTCTAAAAAAAGCTATTCCGTTTGAAAAGCTGTCAACATACTTTCCGCGGCGAGTGTACTTATAACAATATTGCGAGGTTTGAAAGAGGACGTATAGAAGTGCATAACAAAACTCTGTTAAAAAATGCTTATCACATCGCACACAAATTGTATGTTTTATACAATATCTTCTAAGAACGCGAACGAGACGATAACGTCGTTGTGAAACGAACGATCTGGGCTTTCGAGTATGTGGCCGAGATTCTATAAAAATATCAACAAAAAAAAACGACATTGATTACTGGATCTTTTTGTTTCATCGAAAACGACAAGGATCTTTTCAATTGGAATATTTAATATTCATTTCACGACATGATCTTCGTGAACTTTCTGGTCGACAGCGTGCAGTCTAATATCTTTTAATATCTTCTTCTAGAACAACAATATACAAGGGGTCCCAAAGTTATATTATTTCCAGGAAATGACGGGTTCCCGAGGTCATTTGAGGTAACTTTTTCCTTTGCGACAATGTTCTACGAGGCTTCGTTTACGAGTTATTAACAAGAAACCGGGACCAATCGGAGAGCGAGTGCGGCTGACGCCACGCCCTCGAGACCACTGCCGCTGCGTCATACGGCCGATGCGACGCGGCATTGGCCGCAAGGGTGGAATGCTGACCGAACTCGCTCTCCGATTGGTCCATATATCTCCTTAATAACTCGTAAACGAAGCCGCGGATTGCATTTTCGCGAAGGAAAATGTCGTCGTTTCCCAGACGTACCATACTTTCGGGACACCCTGTATATTATTCCAGACCAAATGAGAAGATATTAGACTGCGCATGCCGTCTAAACACCTATAAAATGTAACGAAAAAGAAAATGTCTGCATCTTGAAATGTATAGAAAGTGACGAGAAAAGATTCGCCGATACTTCATGTTCTAAAAAAAGTTGCCAAAAGTCATCCTTATCTCAACGGTTTACTCGAGATTTTCCGCTCAAGCATTTCAGAAACCAGATAATAATTATTCAATTTTGATCATCGTATTCTTCATGGTGTATTCCTTGGTGAACTCCGTAACGATGTTCTTAATCGATACGACGGGAAGTGGGGGAAGGGGTCCAGGGTGTCTTTTCCTATGGCAAATCAATCCCGGTTTCTGCGCGAACGCCTGCCCGCAGATATCACAAACGTACGGCCTCTTCCCGGTATGAATCAGCACGTGTTGTTCCTGCGCGGTTTGCCTTCTGAACGATTTCCCGCAAACGGGACAGGGAAAAGGTTTCACGCCGGTGTGCACCCTCATGTGAGAGTCAAGGTCGCGGCCGCGAAACCTCTTCCCGCAGGTCGGACAGAGCACCTTCTCCCTGGTCTCGTGCCACGTCAGATGCTGCTCCAGATTCTCCTGCGTGGTCATGCCCCTCCGACAGATCCGGCAAACGAACTCCGGCTTGTAATGCCTGTACTTCATGTGCGCCTTCAGCGCATGGAGATTCTTGCTGAAGTGTCCGCAGACGTCGCAGACTATCGGCGGCGCGTCGCTGTGGTTCTGCTTCACGTGGTGGTTGAGGGCCTTCTTGATCTTGAACTGCTTGCCGCACACGTCGCACGCGAAATTGTAGTTGCTCGTGTGCAGCCTGATGTAGTGGTTCTTCAGCGTGCCCTTGTTGTTGCTCTTGTAGTCGCACACGCTGCAGTCGTACACCTGCTGCCTATGGATCCTCTCGACGTGGGTGGCCAAGTATCGGCGAAGCCGGAACGTCTTCGGGCATTCGGCGCACTTGTGCCGGTGCTTCTTCAGATGCTCCGCGAGGTTGCTCTTCTTCAAGAACTTGCGGCAACAGTGCTCGCACTCCAGCCGCGTCGTTACCGCTCTTCTCTTTGTCCTACCACTCGCCAAAGACAATGCTTTCTCCGCCTTGTCCCCATTGTGCCCGAATTGGTTCACGACCGCAGCCTCGAAATTCTCTTTCTCGATCCAGTCGACGGAATAGCACTTGTACTCTTCGCACAGAGGATCCAAGATCCTAAAACAGACAATTGACGGTCTTAGCGATTAACGGTCGAGCCAAGATGGTCACGAAAGTCACCCTAAAATGCGTTCAGATTGTTCGACGATTGCTAATCGATTATTCGACGTGTCTACGCGACTGTAGACGTGGCCTTAAGATTTGTAATTTCTTTCTTTGTTTTTCTCTTCGCGTGAACTCCGTCAAAGACGATAACCTGTTGCGTGTTCTTCGCACACACATATAATCGTACCTTTACGTGGCTTTTTAAAACAATCCAACGTACCCGTAGCCTGGAAAAATGAGGAAAATTCACAGATTATTGTTACTTCTACGGCGGCGTTTAATACAGCAGAGATACTTATCTGGGGCGTTCTAATATGTATTTTCGTTCTCTCACGGGAACTCTCTAACAGTCCCCCGGCGTAGCTATCGATTTTAGAAGATCGATCCGTCGATTCTGACGGCGTTTCGACCAGAGTTCAACGTTAATTGGTGCGACGCGCGGCGACATGTTCAGGGGGGGGGGCATAGTCCACAAGACCGAGCTCAGTAAAAATATTTATTTCAAACTCAAAGCTATATATACACAGCATGTACGTGTATTCACGAAGGTATATTATGCTAGGGTATTGATTTTTAGAAAAATAGCCGTCGCAGGCGTGCCTCCATCCACGTGAGCTTCTTTTTCCATTGTTTCAACGGGAGTGGGGGGTCTTGTCTTAAGGTTATGTTACAGTTATTCTCGGGAGGACTAGCTCGCAAAGAAAACAAGTGTGTCGAGGTACAGGGTGATCAAGAAAATGAGGATCGAATTTTCATGTTTCATAGCTTCGTCGCGGTGTTCCAAAAACCTAACGAATTTGAAAATGGTTCACCGTCTCATCGAATCGATAATAAAATCTTCTCTCTAAAAAAAAAAGGTTATGTCTCTGACTTCTCTCTTAAATCACCCCGTGCACATCACAGTGTGAACAGATTACCACATCCAATCCATAGAAGAAAAAGAGTCCGTTAAACGTCGCATAGCTCGTGCCATCGATAAATATAATACATACGTCGCGATTCATTTTCACGTTCGTTTATTATCCGGTTTCGTTCTTCAATAGAAGCGAGAGAGAAAGAGAGAGAGAGAGAGTCTCGCGTTATCGACTGACGTTGGAAATGCTCGTAATTTTTCGGTTGTCGCGCGGTAATCGACGATTATTAATTAATTAGATTCGACTTGAGAAAATTGGTCGTTACGTGGATGCGGTTTTATATACACGAATTATGTTCTCGCAGCCGTCGGCTAAACGTATCCTCTTTCCGTACAATATGAATTAGAATTCTCGACGACAATGAAACTTTGTCGATGCATACATCCGTGACAGACCAGTTCGAAGGGATATAGCATAGTTCATCGTCCGTACGTCTTAAATTTACAAGGCTGTTATTATATTGTACAATTTAACGCTATACTTACAATTATATGCAATACGTCTAAAAATAATTATTGTTTGCTATTCCGCGTCTCCGATCGTTTCAACTCGATGGTATACACATTTCTTTGCGATTTCTGTTCTTCGAAATATCTCTTACTCTTCTAACAAACAATAAGATCAACGAAGAGATATTTTTACTTGTTGTTGAAGCATTCTCTCTTTCCGAACGTTTACAAAAGAAATGTGTTCGATCTGATATCTTGATTTGATTTTTGACCTTGACGTCAGTTGGACATATTTGAATATTCCGTTCAAGCGTTGCTTGAAAGTTCATGCAATGCAAATTCAATACAAATCGAAAATTCGAGAAAAATGATTGAAACGCAAATAGACGGTTTTAGCAAGTTAAATAGATTACGTTAAATAGATAATATTAAATAGATTTCTGTTAAACAGATCACGATTCATAAAAACAATAGCGTGACAATATTAAGAAAAAAATCCGTTGAAGTTCGAAGAAAAATGTAATAAAAAAAAACTGCAGAAACAAATTTACAGTTGTCGTTACGCTGGGAGAAGTTCTTCAACAACGAGTAGACACACACACACACACCGACGGTTAATTTAGACGCTGGAATTAGGGACTTCGCTACGATCGAAGATTATAACAACCATTTCTCGGCACCGGAAGTCGCGACTTTAATAATCGTATCGATATGCAAAAGAATTGAAATCTGTTCCTGGCAGACGAGATAATTCATTCGTTCGTTCATCGTTACCACTTGTCGGACACTTGTGACGATCGCGATTTCGTGTTTTTCTCGAAGATAGTCGCATTGTTTGTATGCAGGTTGCGGCTCCAAGAGATGCTGCAGAGGGCGATATTTACAAAAAACACAATAAATTGTAGTTATGTTTTAAAAATATTTAATAAGAACGTTGCATCCAACAGTAACTAAGAAGACTAATTGATAGGTCATGTTCCGTCAGGAGGCCGAAAACAAGAGTTAATTTTGGTAAATATTTACGTATTTAGAGCAGAGAATACTTCAGAATTTTTTTCATTTCGTTATTTTAGATTCTTTTTTTATTTCAATTATTCCTTTTTATTTTAAAATATTTATCAGTTGCACAGTTATAACTGACGCGAAAATAAAATTTTTACACAGCATACTGTATTGTTCAGTCTTCGAACGGACATTCTGAAGTATCGAATTTAGGAAAAGTGGTAGAAGTGGTAGAATCGTGATTTTTCATAGAAAGGTCGCTTATCTCTAGTCGACGAAAACACAATATTTAAAACAAAAAAGATAGCAAGAAGTAGATGACACAATAAAATGTACAAGTTTCGTCGAGCTCCTAATTTTTTATTAGTTCACATTCAACAGGGACAGTATCTGCCAAATATCTCAAGACAAAAAAATTGCGAAGTACTCTGTTGTACTTTGTCACTTTGATACACGACAACATAATGCATTTCGATAAAGTGTTACAGTGTTTACTCGAGAAAAAAAGTGTCCAAAAATTACCTATTTTCGACCTCATGACCGAGGAGCATGGCCCCTTCGAATGAACAATAGTTTCACGTAGTGTTTGAAACGGTTCAGAAAATAATTTATCAAAACTGTCGTACAAAGATGCCGCTTGAAACAATTATGAAAAACTTCCCGATACCTGTAACGGAGAATCAAAGATATTTGCTTCGGTTACAGTTCCTATTTTAGTCTCCGCTATTTTCATCGGTTCCATATCGATTCCAAAATGTTTCTGAAGTCATATAATTCATAATTGAATTATGCATTGCTCACAAATGAAGTTAAGCGTTATAAATTATATATTATAAATTAATAATAATATATATAATTATATAATATATCATTAATAATATATAATTATAAATTCTGCTTTACCGATTTGGTAACACACATTTTCTAATTACAATTAAGTTTATTATAATATAGCTTCGTTTGTTACTTTATGCTTCATTTTTTCAACGACATAAAATGAAAATTTAAAAGGAGGAACCCGAACTACTATTTTTATCTTCCCATCCAGAATAACGTGCTGCGTGCAAATGTGAAAAAATGCGGTTATTTTGTTAATCTGAAAGCGTTAAAACGTTCTCGAAACTCGGTTAAAGAAGAAGAAGAACATTAGCGTAACATACAATACGCTATTTTGCAAAATAAACTGAACAGAGTGCATGAATATAATTTTTAAACGCAAATATTAAAACGCTTGTCACGGATTTCGGTGCACTCTTTACGCATCTGATCTTGGAATTGTTTCAGATTACTATACACCACCGAAATCTAACGATCATGGAACCGATACAGAGGTCGACGTAGGAACTGTACCCGACAACAATTGGAAATCCTCGATTCTTCTTAACAGTAATCCAAAGCGGAGGCTCCGCACAAACGTTTCAAGGATCGCGATCGGTATTATAATAAATCATAATTCAAGCCCTGTTACCAAACATGTTAATTCACCGTCTTACTCCTATCGACAGAAACCTCGCCGAACACGAGAAGAGCATACATTTCCACGGCGAACGGACCGAATTCAAAGAGGGCTCTACGTCTCGTCCTCGATCATCTCCTCGTTCTCGCGGGCGTTCACTTCTTGAACGTAACCCTCGGTGAACTCTTTCACGATGTCGGCGATGGGCATGACTGGCAGCGGAGGATGAGGCCCAGGATGCGTCTTCCTGTGGCAGATCAGTCCCGGTTTCTGCGTGAACGCCTTGCCGCATATGTCGCAGACGAACGGCCGTTTCCCGGTGTGTATCAGTAGATGCTGGCGCAGCTGGGACCTCCTTGCGAACGGCTTGTTGCAAATGACACAGGAATGTGGCTTGCAGCCGGTGTGCACGGCCATGTGTCTCTTGAACGAGTCCTTCTTGGTGAACGTTTTCCCGCACTCCGCGCACACAATCTTCTCTCTCTTCTCGTGTTGCGTCAGCAGATGCTGATCAAGATTCTCCTGGGTGACCATGCGCCGCTTGCATATGTGGCACTCGTACTTGGGCTTGTAGTGGGCCCATTTCTGGTGCACGTACAGGGAGCCGCTGTTCTGGCACAGTTTGCCGCACACGTCGCAGTTGATCGGCTTCTCCTTGTGATGGAACCGCACGTGGTTCGTCAGGTCGCCCTTCACCTTGAACTCTTTCGGACAGAACTTGCACTGGTGCTCGTACCGGTCCGTGTGCTTCCTGATGAAATGCGACTGCAACGAGTGCTTCGACCTGCAAACAAAGCCGCATGTAGCGCACGGGAACAGCATGTTGTTCGGCCGTTTCCTCGACCAGGTCTCGTGCTTCCTCTCCAAGTGGGCCGCGAACAGGCTCTTCTTCAAGGTACGGTAGTCGCAGACCGCGCAGATGTACGCGCCGTCCTCCTGTATGCACACCTTCTTCTTATGTGTCCAGGCCACGTGCTTCCGGAACGAGATCGCCGAGCTGAACATCTCGGAGCATACCTTGCACTTCAGCGCGCCGCCCGAGCTCTTCGAGATCTTTCTGCGGGCCTTCGACGGCGTCGCGTGATTGTTCGCCGCCTCCAGGATCTCCTCCTCAAGGTATTCGACCTGCTCGACCTGGTCCGACTCCTCCGCCGGGTCCTCGATCTCATCCAGCTGCTCTAATTGTTCTTGTTCCGTGTAGATCTCCGGGTCGTCCACCGTCTCCTCGAAGTCCATCTTCTTTTCGTCCAGCTCGGCCGATATCAGTTTCTCTATGGTCACCATGCTACCCTGAACCTTCACCTGGTACAAGTCACCGATCTTATCGGCCTCGTCCTCGATCGAGCCGTTCAGGATTATCGGCTTCACGTCCACCTGCTCGTCTTCCCTCTGCTCCGCGCCACCGTTCAACAGATGATCCTCGTCCTCGTACAGCCTCTCGTCGGTCGAATCGTACGGCAACTCGTCGTTGTAGAGGCTCTCGATCTTCACCAGGCCGTGCTTCTCGTCCTCGTTCTCCGTCTCGTCGATCTGCTCCGGTATGCACTCGTCCGGCAACGGCGTGTCGTCTTCAGGTACAAACGCGTAGTACGGCTTCCCGTCGAACTCCAGGATCTGCCATTTCTTCATGACCACCGACTCCTTGTCGTAGAGAAAGACGCCGCGCGAGCTCAGGCTCTCGAGCTGATCGTACCTGAAACATCAGCGAGCAACAGCGTTATTAAATGTCTGCGACCGGTGTCACGCAGAACTGCGAAGCGATTTCAAGCAGGAGGTTTCTTATTATTCTTACGTGCTGCGGCAACCGTGTCTCGGTAGACGCGAGCCCTTTTTCCGAAGAATGGCTAGGGGGTCATCGTGGTTAGTAGGGTCGAAGATCAAGGTCACAAAAATCAAGGCGAAACGGGCTTTTTTAGCTTCTTGCGAAATGGATACTGCGGGACGCTACTGTTACCGGATTAGTCGTGAGATGTGTGCTTTAGTGTGAGAGAATTAGGGTGAAGCGATATGCCAGGGTGCTCTTTATTCCGATCGCATGGTCACGAGCTTACATGTCTTACAAACGAATCGTTGGAACGTAGGAAATCGTGGATATATGCCAGTCGACGACTTGGAAGCTCGAGTTGATTGTTGCTGAGTATCTTTAATCGGGGCCCACAAATTATGCCCCGAATTTGTACGAACATAATCGCTGTTTCGATCGAGGAATGTTAATCATGCCGAGAACATTGTTCGGAAATTCTGTTCGTAAACGCGTTGTTGCGGTTACAAATAACGGTTACGAGTGACCGATAAATTTGTTTATTGCCGACAGCCATTATTGATGAAAGGAATTCTATTTCGGTCGCGCTAGTAGTAGTTGCCGGTGAAGGAAATTTATGTCAGCTGCGCTCGTAACAGGTATCGGCGAAGAAAACTATTTCGGTCGCTCGTAACAGTTATCCGATAAGGCAGATTTATTTCGACGCCTCGTAATAGCGGAAAACAGTGTTCGAAACGGTTTAGAAACTATCGCGCAAAGATTTTGGTTAAAGCGATATTAATGTGATTCCTCGTATTAATGTAATTCCAACTGTTAATGTCACTCACATTAATAGTCGATTATACTGCAGAGAACAATCTTTTTTTTTTTAATTGGAACAGTCGCGATGAGTTTTCTTTCTCTTGACGGGGGTTACAGGATTTAGATTACTGTAGAATGTGTAAAAGAAGTTTTGAACAAATCACAACTAGTCAGAATCACTGTGGAAATAGAAACTTGCTTTTTGAGACTTTCTATCTACGACTTTGTTAAAAATTCCAGAAATAAGTTTCTGTAGATTTATGTCTATTATTTTTATAGTTATATATATATATATATATATTAGTTATATATGTATATATATGTATATTATATAAAAAATATATATAATATATTTTAAAATTCTTGATACCAACTTAAAACACCAATTGCAATTTTTTCCACATTTCTTTTACTTTAAAACGCTTGCGTTGTTTGATCCGATTTTTAAAAAGTTCCGTCTTAAATAATGCCTTATTATTAATGCGAGAACTGTATTTCTTTCGGTCACAATTTGCTTTCATACTAATTCCATCGTTACGTTTCTAAAATCGATTTCTATTCGTTTTTTACTTTAAAATATACAATCGAATTCTATTGACTCGTTTGAATACATGTATAAAAAGTACAAGAAAATATTTGTATATGTACATAAAAATATAAAAAATTTAATTTTNAAGTTCCGTCTTAAATAATGCCTTATTATTAATGCGAGAACTGTATTTCTTTCGGTCACAATTTGCTTTCATACTAATTCCATCGTTACGTTTCTAAAATCGATTTCTATTCGTTTTTTACTTTAAAATATACAATCGAATTCTATTGACTCGTTTGAATACATGTATAAAAAGTACAAGAAAATATTTGTATATG